CGCTCACGTTATCAACATAATTTTCATGGCTCTTATAGTTTTGGCTCTAGAGGTCAGAATGTGAAGGGAACTTTTGGCGGTTGAACCAGCACAGAGCAGAGCTCCCAGTGGCTTCAGCTCGGGGCGTCAACATGACACTTGTACTTGTGTGACACTGTTTTATGTATATATATGGAAAAGAGAAAAGGTCCCAGAACTGAACCTTGAAGAACCCCTGTGTTGAAGTGGTGCACTGCAGAAGTGTGACCAAGCCAGGATACAGCAGAACCTCTACTTAGGATGCCTAAACATTAGAATTTTCCAATATACGAAGTGAAATTGATCAAATATTCGACTGGACACCCAAAGTAAATATCATGTCGAAGTCATAGAAAAAAATATATAAAATATCAAAATGAAATACCTCTGTTCTCCAGTCTCTGAGGTAAAGGTCCAATAAAAACCCTTTTTACCATGTGCTGTGGTTTTAAAGGTTTTCCTGCTTCTGCCCAGCTGGGTCTGATTCAGTTGGATATCCTCTTGCTGGCGCACAGCACAGTGGTGTGAATCAGGTGGGTGGAAACAGGGGTACCGCTAAAACCTGCAGGACTGAGGCCCAAAGAGAGCCAAAGAGGCCCAAAAAGGCCCAAAGAGACCCAAAGAGGCCCAAAGAGAGCCAAAGAGAGCCAAAGAGGCCCAAAGAGAGCCAAAGAGGCCCAAGGAGACCCAAAGAGATCTAAACAGGCCAAATAGGCCCAAAGAGACCCAAAGAGGCCCAAATAGACCCAAAGAGGCCCAAAGAGAGCCAAAGAGGCCCCAAGAGGCCAAAAGCCTACCGCAAGCCTACCCCTGCCCTAGTCTACCCCTAACACTAACCCCTAATGCTAACCCCTTCCCCCTACCCTACCCCCTAACTCTACCCTGCCCTGACCCTAACTGTACCCTACCCAAACCCCGCCCCTACAACTTAACCCTACCCCTACCTCTACCCGTACACCCTGCCCCTATCCCTAACCCCTAACCCTACCCTAACCCATAACACTATTATGAATTATCAATAAATAGATTTTTCTTCCAAAAAATAGCTTAATTTCAACAAAGAAAAACAGATAATAGATCTCTTATTTATCATTCATGGCAAAGTGGTGTTCAGAGAATTAAGATATTGATCTGACAAGGTTTCTGGGTTATCAAACAGATCATTTTTCAGTGTTTTTAAAACAACAATAACGTGTGATTTGAAAGTCAAATCAAATTAAAGAATTTCCACATTTCCAAAGGGATGAGATGTAAAATAAACTGTGATAAAAAAGCTCTGCAGGTTTCTCTGTTTGGCTCCATAAAGTGGAAGAAAGAAAAACAACATGCAGATACATCAGCACAAATGTTCAGCGAACATTGAGAGCTCAGAGAAGTTCAGACTTTCTGTGAATAAAACTCCTGGTTAGCACTGATTTCCTCCACGGCTGCACAAAGACAGGAAGAAGCACAAAAATAGAAATGAACAGCAGAGCAGAGACGTCACTGCAGTGAACTCTGAGCAACAAGATGAGAGGACACTTTATCTCAGTTCACAACACTCTGCTGAGGATCCAGCAGTCCAAATAAGTTTTTCAAACAAATTCAGAGACATTTCCTATCAACTTTATTGATCTAAAATTTCCTCATTTACAGAAAAAACTTTAAGCAATTATTGTTTTTTTAAATACACGAAATATCGAGAAGAACTGTGGAGTTAAACATAAAACTGAATCAAAAGTGAGTGACTTTTAGAAATGACTTAATCCCTAAATTACATGTAATTTAAAGCAAAAGTGTTAACTTCAGTTTCTGATAACTTGAATGAGAAACATAGTCTCCCATATACATAATGAGAGTTAATCCAGATTAAATCATACAGTTTCAATTTTAAACATGAAGAACAGTTTTATATTCTATGTTTATTAAACCCACCATAATCCCTAAAAATAAACTAAAAGAAAAATTAAGAAATTAATCATGATGTCCTATTAAAACAATGGAGATAATTAGAATGAAAACAGTTTAACATTTCTATCATCAGAAAAAATGCTGATATTATGTTAGCATGTTTTTCTTTTTGTCTCTGAGTTGAAAAAAGGAATCTGAAGTATAATTTCTGCAATTCAAGAGAAAAAAAATCTGATAAGTGTCCTGATAAGTTCTTCATAGGCCTGAAAACAGAGTGTAAAAGCTGCTGACTGACAGGAGCTGGACGGTGGAATATATCAGTAAATAGCAGCCTCTGGTGAACAAAAGACGTCAGCAAATAAAGATGGAAAACTTTGTTATGAAGGAGGTCAGGTGAAACATAACTCTGGTTAATGTTAAGTTTGACAACAGATTAATCTAAAAACACAGCTCTGTCACATCTTTAAACAACTTAACTTTGTCTCTTAGAAACTACACGACTCTGCTGAGGATCCAGAATAAACACAGAGTCCAGCATAGAGAGGCTGAGTGAAGGTGGTCTGGACTCTGTGGAGGAGAGTCCTGGTTTCAGAGACGCTGTAGAAGGACAGAATACCTGCTCTGGGATCCAGGTACACTCCTACTCTGGAGGAAGGAGGAGCTGAGAGGGAGGTTTCTATGCTGTTGGACCTAAATGTAAAACCGTTTTCATCACAATATAATGACCAAGATTTGTCATTAAATCCAAATCCAGATTCATCTCCTGTTCTGCTGATATTCTTGTATACGACTGCTACTTCAACTCCTTCCCCTCTCCACTCCACCTCCCAGTAACAACGTCCAGTGAGACTCTCTCTGCTCAGGACCTGAGACCAGTAAGTGAATCTGTCTGGATGATCAGGATAAGACTGAGGTTTATCCATACATTTCACCTTCCTGTTCCCCTCTGACAGTAACAGCTTTCTGTTTGCTGTGTTTGGATCCAGTGTGATGGCACGTGAACATCTTAAGAAGTCGGCTCTGCTCTCTGGTTCTGGTGGCAGTAAAACATCCGGCTGAGCGGCTGCCAGTGAGACTTTAGTCCAGTCCTGTGTCAGGATGTGCTGCAGTTTGTCTGTGAGCTCTGACACGGCTGCTGTCACATCCTCAAAGCAGCTCTGAGGACGCACCCTGATGCTGGATGAGTGTGTGGACTGCCTGGGTACTGGCAGTAAGGGGCAGCTGGTCAGAAACTGGATGTGGTCCTCTGTGTGTGAGAGCTGCTCTAGCTCAGCGTCTTTCCTCTGCAGCTCAGTGATCTCCTGCTGCAGCTTCTGCTGAAGCTCTTTGACTCCCCTCACTGCAGTTTGCTGCTGGGATCTGACCTGCTGCTCCACATCAGAGCGTCTTTTCTGGATGAGACGGATCAGCTCAGCGAACATCTTCTCACTGTCCTCCACTGTTTTGTCAGCAGACTGATCGATGGCCTCCACCTCCTGCTGGAGCAGATCCACATCTTTCTGTTTGTCCTGGATTCTCTGCTGGATTTGTTGCCGCCTCCCCTCCAGCTCTCTCTGCCTCTCAGACCTTTCTGCTGCAGGTAACACAATGTGGTGGCCTTGATGCTCATGCATTGTACAGACAAGACAGATGGACTTCTGATCAGTGCAGCAGAACAGCTTCTTCACCTCATCATGGACAGAGCAGAAGTTCTCCTGGAGCTTATTGGACGGCTCCGCCAGCTTGTGTTTTTTAAATGGAGGTGAATCATAATGAGGCTGAAGGTGTTCCTCACAGTAAGACGCTAGACAGAACAAACAGGACTTTCTGGCTCTCAGTTTTCTCCCAGAGCAGACATCACAGGCCACATCTTCAGGTCCAGCATAGCAGTGGTCAGCAGGAGCAGCTCGGAGTCCAGTCTTCTTCAGGTCTTCTAATATTTCTGCTAACATGGTGTTTTTCTCCAGGACAGGCCTCAGTATGAAGACTTTCCTGCATTGAGGGCAGCTGTGAATTCCCCTCTGATCCTCTCCATCAAAGTGGCCTTTAATACAGTTCATGCAGTAGCTGTGTCCACAGGGAATAGTCACCGGATCCTTCAGGAGATCCAAACAGATCGAACAGCAGAATTTCTGTCGGTCCAGCTGATTTCCCTGCTGCGCCATTTCTCCTCTTCACAGTAACGTCTGAATATTTCCTGTTTCTCTGAGCATAAACAATCTCACCTGAACCAGGAAACAAGGAGTGTCAGCAGCGTCATGTTACAGCTTGCTGCTCACGCCCATCTGAAACATGTGACCGGAGTCCAAACAAGCAGGGTGTGTTCTGCAGAGACAGACACGTCATCTTACTGCTATAAAGAAAAAACCTGTTCTGTCTCAGCTGTGTTATCAGTGCAGGGTTACAACAGGCAGACTTCAGCTTCTCTTTACGGCCTCCATGTCCTTTTGATCTGTCTCTCCTTGATGCCACCTAGTACCCCACTGGATCTACTGTGTGCAAAAAAATCTAACTGATTTTCATTTTCCTTATTAACATTATTCTGTACGCTTTTTGGCATTTAACTGCTTCAGCAAAAATTTAACTGTTTTAAACAATTAAGGTATAAAATCTTTAAATTTTTTTGGGGACATTGCGGGTGTGTCTTTTTGTGTTGAATCCTTTGAAACTTTTTGAATTATTCAACATTTTCGGACTTAATTTTAATATGAATAGTTAAATTCATAATATAAATAGTTTAAGATGTATTTACTCTGCCACTTCATTAGCAGAAAAGATTTCATCCACATCAAAGTCTTTTCCTTATTATCATTATTCTGTATGCTTTTTGACGTTCAACTACTTTGAAATTCTTCAACCTATAAAAACAATTAAGGTATTAATTCGTTCAGTGTCTTTCAGACATTGCGGCTGTGTCTTTTGGTGTTTAAACGTTTGAAACTTTTTCAATCATTCAACTTTTTCTGACTCAGTTTTCTCCCAGAGCAGACATCACAGGCCACATCTTCAGGTCCAGCATAGCAGTGATCAGCAGGAGCAGCTTGGAGTCTGAATAGTTCCTGTTTCTTTGACAAAAAACAATCTCGCCTGAACCAGGAAACAAGGGCTGTCAGCAGCGTCATGTTACAGCTTGCTGCTCACGCCCATCTGAAACATGTGACCGGAGTCCAAACAAGCAGGGTGAGTTCTGCAGAGAAAGACACGTCATCTTACTGCTATAAAGAAAAAACCTGTTCTGTCTCAGCTGTGTTATCAGTGCAGGGTTACAACAGGCAGACTTCAGCTTCTCTTTACGGACTCCATGTCCTTTTGCTTCTGTCTCTCCTTGATGGCATCGAGCCCCCCACACAACCCACATTTACAATCTGTTTATTTTAGTGTGTTTGTAATTTTTATTTGCGCTTGTTTAGTGGCAAGTGTTTTAAAACACTAGTTGTTTACAAATTAAATAATAAAATATAAATAGATAAAAAAGAGGTTGACTTACAATAAAAGGATTATCCAACTGGAACAAACATGTCCCATCATGAAAATGAGTGAAAAAGCTGATTAAAACTTCTGAGAAAAAAACTGCATGATCTGGAGTAATAAAGCGAAATATTCCGTTTTTTTAACATTTTTTATTCAGCTTAAAGAAATTAAATTATTTGTCATTTAAAATTAAATGACAAAAAATTACTCACAGACTTGAATACATCACTAAGTCAACAGAGAGCAGAATTAAAAATAAAACTTACCATGAAAGTGTGAAAAAAGGAATTCTTTTTTTTGACCACCCACAGATACCCAAACATCAACTTCAAAACAAAGAATAAAAAAGAAGACAAAACAAGGCAAAATAATATAAAATAGATAAAACTGATTTGACTGAGAAATGAAAACCCCTTTTTCTAAAGACAGAACCTATCATTCAAAAACCAAAAAGTTAGTTAACTCCAGCATAGAGAGGCTGAGTGAAGGTGGTCTGGACTCTGTGGAAGAGAGTCCTGGTTTCAGAGTTGCTGTAGAAGGACAGAATACCTGGAGGAAGGAGGTTTTAATAGAAATATATAATAAAAAACTAAACAATATCAGAAGAAAAAATGCTGATGTTATGTTACCATGTTTTTCCTTTGTCTGTTTGAGTTTAATAATTAATCAAAAATATAATTTCAGTAAATCAAGAGAAAACAAATCCGATAAGTGTCCTGATAAGTTCTTCATAGGCCTGAAAACAGAGTGTAAAAGCTGCTGACTGACGGGAGCTGGGTGGTGGAATATATCAGTAAATAGCAGCCTGTGGTGGACAAAAAGATGTCAGCAAATAAAGATGGAAAACTTTGTTATGAAGGAGGCCAGATCAAACAAAACTCTGATTAATGTTAAGTTTGGCAACCCGTTAATTTAAAAAGACAGCTCTGTCAGATCTTTAAACAACTTAACTTTGTCTCCTACAAACTACAGAACTCTGCTGTGGATCCAGAATAAAGACGGAGTCCAGCATAGAGAGGCTGAGTGAAGGTGGCCTGGACTCTGTGGAGGAGAGTCCTGGTTTCAGAGACGCTGTAGAAGGACAGAATACCTGCTCTGGGATCCAGGTACACTCCTACTCTGGAGGAAGGAGGAGCTGAGAGGGAGGTTTCTATGTTGTTGAACCAAAATCTAAAACTGTTTTTATCACAATCTAATGCCCAAGATTTGTCATTAAATCCACATCCAGATTCACTTCCTGCTCTGCTGATATTCTTGTATGCGACTGCTACATAAACTCCTTCCCACCCTCTCCACTCCACCTCCCAGTAACAACGTCCAGTCAGACTCTCTCTGCTCAGGACCTGAGACCAGTCAGTGAATCTCTCTGGATGATCAGGATAAGGCTGAAGTTCATCCATATCTGTCACCTCCCTGTTCCCCTCTGACAGTAACAGGTATCTGTGTGCTGTGTTTGGATCCAGTGTGATGTCACGTGAACATCTTAAGAAGTCGGCTGTGCTCTCTGGTTCTGGTGGCAGTAAAACATCCGGCTGAGCGGCTGCCAGTGAGACTTTAGTCCAGTCAAGTGCCAGGATGTGCTGCAGTTTGTCTGTGAGCTCTGACACAGCTTCTGTCACATCCTCAAAGTATCTCAGAGGACGCACCCAGATGCTGGATGAGTGTGTGGGCTCACTGAGTGCTGGCAGTGAGGGGCAGCTGGTCAGAAACTGGATGTGGTCCTCTGTGTGTGAGAGCTGCTGCAGCTCAGCGTCTTTCCTCTGCAGCTCAGTGATCTCCTGCTGCAGCTCCTGCTGAAGCTCTTTGACTCCCCTCACTGCAGTTTGCTGCTGGGATCTGACCTGCTGCTCCACATCAGAACTTATGTTCTGGATGAGACGGATCAGCTCAGTGAACATCTTCTCACTGTCCTCCACTGTTTTGTCCGCAGACTGATCGATGGCCTCCACCTCCTGCTGGAGCAGATCCACATCTTTGTTTTTGTCCTGGATTCTCTGCTGGATTTGTCGCCGCCTCCCCTCCAGCTCTCTCTGCCTCTCAGTCCTTTCTGCTGCC